TTTATATAATATTATAATTATAATAATACATATTAAAAAATAATTATTGCTAAAAAAACTATTTATAAAACGTGGGCTAGCAACTTGGTTATTCGTTGTCCCCCTTGTCTGCGTTGGCGAAATCCACCTTATCTATATCTATAATTCTATATATCCGTATATGAGATATTAAAATTTTATTTTATTAAATATAAATATTTAAATTTAAAATTTTATTATATATTTTAATATAATTAATTTTTAAATTTAAATATTACTTTAAAAACAATTTTAAATTAAATTTTAATTAAATAAAATAATTTAAAATTAAAATTTTAATTTATTTTAAAATTCAAGTCTTATATCCACTATTACATACATATATATACTAATAATTTGTTACCACAAGTAGAATGAATGTGGTTATTCTTCGACAAATACTTCTTTTTTTTTTTTTACCAGGTAGATGATTAGGAAGTTAGTAGAGTTAGTTTGTTAGCAGCTGAAATTTTTTCAGAAAAGTGAACGTTTCACCCCTGATTTGAGGTGCGTGACCATTAAATCGCAAGTTGGTGGAGTTCACGGCGGTGGCAGAGCTCGAAACCTGACGTCCGCTTCACCCAAGCCCTAAAACTTAGGGCCAACCAATTGGACTACAGATTCGATTGGCATTCTTCAACAAATACTTAAATTTAAAATTAATAAATAAAAAAATAAGTATTGAAAAAATTCTTCTTAAAGAGTCCGATCAAATTCGATCGTAAATGAATCGAAAGACAATGTAATTGTTAGATTACGAGGGACTTGGAAAATATATATATATATATATATATATATATATATATATAAACCAAATTACATTCCCTTTAAATGGGAAATTATATTTTTTCACAAACTCTTGCACAAATTTAAGGAATTGTGGTTTGGTAGAAAAAAGAGTTTGTTTTTTATTTTATTGGTTAAAGTTAAATTCTTTTAAAGAAAGTAACGAGTAAATATATTATTTATTTTATTAGATTAGAAAGAAATTAATTTTGAGATATGTATAATTTAACTCAAGAACATCTTGATAGTTAAATAAAAAAAGAAGAAGCTTTTTTCACAAACTTTTACAGTATATTTGATTTTAAAAAAGAAAGTAGTAGAATAAAAGAATACAACATTCTTCTATTTTTCTTCCTTTCCTTTTTCTCTCCTCATTCGAATAAGTGGAGGAATTCAAGTAAAAATAAAGGACTCCACATCCTTCCTTTTCAATTTTTTGCTAATTAAATAAAGAATTTTCATACATCCCCTTCTCTAAAACCAAACATATTATTACAAACTCTATTTTCATTCCTTTAGTAATTGCGGGTTGTGCCAGAGCCCTTGGAACACAATTAAGCAAGGCGAGCTGGTGCTAGGTGTTGGCTCGTTAAGTTTTGGAGGCCTCACCACTGCGGACAGGCTACCAACGCGTAACAAAAGCCGTATTACATTTGGAAAGGGATTACCGAGATGTAAGCAGATATGGCCAAGATGGCATTCGATGTTGCTCTTAATATAACAAGAGAATAACACATTTCATATTCGATAGGGTTAGAATAAAATGGGAACAATTGATATTCTTTAATATTGTTCACAAAAGTTTCACTCAGCGTATCCTAACCAGCCAATGAAAGGGAAATGAGAAGAGAATGCCGAATGCCGAATGCCGAAGAGTGAAATGGGTCAACCACCATAGCGCGTCTTGAGGGATTCAGGTGGCTCCTCTTC